AAAAACCTTGGCCAGGTTGTGCAAGCGCAGGTGAGAGATGGGGGGGGGGGCAGGGCAGGTTCGTTAGGGAAAGGAAAGTCGTTAGGAAAGTTGAACTGCAGGTGGAAGCGAGGAGGAGCCGCCATGAACCTTGGCACCGCCGGGTACGGAAAAACCCCGCTGCTTCCTTCTTCTCTCTCTTATTGCAGCTGATGAAAGAAGTGGTTTTCCCCGGGAAGTTTTTGTGCAGCGAGGGCTTGGGGTGTCCACTCCACCTCTTCCAGAGGTCAGTCCCGCAGCGGCCGTGCAGCCTGGCCTGGCCGTCCCCACGTCCCTCTGCCGCGGGGCCGCGAAGGGGCCAAACGCCTCGGCGGGGTCGGGGGGCTGGGGGCAGCGGCGCAGGAGCCGCTGCAGTGCAGGACCCTGCCCAGGGACAGACAAACCAACTACCCTGGACTTTCTGGTTTTTTTTCCCAGACTTGCTATTTCTTTATGGACTCTATTTTTTTCCCAGATTCACTCTATTTTCTGCTCTCCCTGTTTTCTCTGCTGGCAAGGAACCTCGTCCCCGAGCTGCACCGGCGCCGGGTCAGCCCTGATAACCTCTCTTCACAGCATCACTGCTTTGACCTTTACAGGCTCCGGGCTAATTACACCCCAGAGGGTGGGGATGTTTTGCCCAAACTCGGGGCTTTTGAGGCCGAGTAGGCAATGAGCTCATCCCGCTGCCCCGTCCCGCCGCGGCCGCCCAGGATTGGTGTTTCTTTGCACGATGCCGCTGTGACGGGTGTTTCTTGGCACGATGCCGCTGTGCCGCCCCCCGCCGAGGAGGGCTTTGAGTATGAGGGGGGAGAGAAAACCGGCTGGCCGCGTGGGGAGAAGGAAGTGCCGCCACGGGCCACTCCTCCTCGCCATTTCCTCTCCGCAGTTGGGTTTTTATACGGATGAGAGAGAGGGGGCAGAGGAGCAGCCGGCCCGTCTGAGGCCGAAGGCTGGGCTTGGCGGCTGAAGGGGAGCGCCGGTGGCCGGCCCCGAGGGAGACGCTGCGGGTAATTGCGCTTGGTTCGGCTTCCCCGTCCCACTCCCCACGCCGCGGGTGGTCACCAGGGCACCCCTCGGCCACTTCGAGCCCCATCCGCGCCACCGCCTCCTGCTCGTCCCCAATGGCCCCTTTCCACCAAAAACTGCCCTGGTTTTGTGGGGACCCTCCTGTTCCCGCCAGTTTGGGATGCTCCAGGCTCTTCCCTTCCGCTTGCTGCCCTTCCCATCGGTCTTGGCCTTTGGGGGTCAGCAAAAAATTTGGGCTGGGGGCGGGGCTGGTGGGGTTTGGTGGCAAGCAGGCTTTCGGGGTGGCACGGGTGGGTTTTGCGTCACCTTGGCTGTCACCGCCGTGCTGTGTTTTCGGGAGGGCGAACGCCTGCACGCCCAGAGCTCAAGCTGCGAAGCAAACCGCGTTTCTCAGCTCGTCTCCAAGTGGAGCTGCAACAAGAGGTGCTGGGGCCATGCCCTGCGCCAGGGCCATGCTGGCCTCTGCCACGATCCAGGCTTTCTGCTCCTGGCCACTGATGCCCTTCGATCCACGGCCCCCCACTGCAAGGGGCCGTTTTGCTCTGCTTTTCCCCCTGGAGATGCTCAGTTTTGGACCGAGGGGTTGGCTTTCAGCAGCAGGATCAGCCTTTGGGATTTTCCAGCTGGTCTGTCAAAGAGCCCAAGTTTGGGGTGCAGCTCCTCTCCAGTGCCATCCTCAGGATTCAGCAGCTGGCACTTTAACCGGGGACATGTTTCTCTGGCTGGTGTTGGGCCGATGTCTCCTGCAAACCGGGCACCTTCTACCCGCGAACACCGCCTGCCCAGTGGCTGCCCTCATCCCGCTCCCCTCCTGGCCCAGCTGCCTCCGGCTGCCCACGCAGGCTCGTCTGCTGTGGAAACCTTGTTTTGGCAGGAGCAGGGTGACACACGAATGCAAATGTTAGAGAGGAAGAGCTAAAGGAGGAAAGCTGGAGGTTTCTCCGGAGCGTTTCCAAGAGCTAAGTGCAAGTCTTCCCACGGTGCGGCCGGACTCAGCGCAGAGCAGTGACTAGTGGTGTTTACACGAGCACTTGTGATGCTGTGGATCTAATTGCCGAGTTCTTTTTCCTACCGGTTTTCACCAAACTTCTAATTAAGTTGCCAAAACGGCATCTCTGCAGGCTGGCAGCACCACCGGGCTGGCACAGCCGCCTGCCCCGGCCCCGATCTGACGTTAAGCAAGCAGGGGCTGCTCTTACAAAAGTCGAGCAGGTATTAGGAACTGAGTCATGGTATTAACAGGATTATATTATATGCGTGACTGGACAGATTTCTTGCTGAGGATGGGATTTGGTCCCTCCACCCTGCCTCGCTCGGCTCATCTGGAGGGTTGGGCATCCCCTGCGGTGGGCTGGATGTGCTTTGGGCTCTTGGCTTTTGGGAAAGAGGGTCTGGAGCATCTCCCGGCTATGAATGCTCGGTCCGTGCCAGTTTCCATCGGCCTCGCAGGGGCCTTGGGATCCCCACGTGGACGCGGCGGTGGTAGGAGAGTTGGCTTCAGGCTGCGAGGAGCCAAACCACTTCGTGCTTTGGCCGGGGTGACGGGCAGGGTGGGGTGGGGTGGGGTGGCCCCTGCTGCGTGCCGGCAGCATTCGCGGGGGAATTTTTGGGATGTCTTGTTTTTCACTGTCAGCATCCATCTGCTCCCTAAACCTTTTCCTGCAAACTCCCACAGCTCCCCCCTGGCATTTAATCAACCCCCTCTATACCTGCATGGGTTTGGGGCTGAAAAAGCTTCACGGCGTGTTTGTGTCGATGTGTGTTACAGCCCGGAGGCTTGTCGTGGCCCCGGGCTGAGCTTGGTGCTGTCCCTGCTCCCTGGGGACTGTGGTCCGTACTGGTCTGCGCCATAGGGGCTGCTCCCCAGCGGCTTTGGGGACAGCCATCCCATTGGGGACCTTCAGGCACTGTGTGAGCAAGGTGAAGATGGAGAGAAGCAAGGGTGTGACCCCAGGGTGGCGTGGGGACAGCCCAGGGTTCCCAGTGGCATCTCCGGCAGTGGCATGCCTGGTGGCGGTGGCCCCCAGCCCTCCTGCCCCGTGCTGCCTCTGCGCCTGCTTGCAGGAATCTCGTCTGGCTGGTTTTGCTCTGGGCATGGCCAAATCCTGCACGCAGTCAGCAATTAGCACTTGGGGCTAATTGCTGCACAGCAATAGCTTGTCCAGGGCTTAGTGCTGGGGGAGCCACTGGCCCCGGCTCGGTTCCCACAATGAGCTGGCTGCCGGCGCATGGCCCAGAAACCAACTTGGCCCAGGGCGCGGGTGAAGCTTCACTTGGTGCATCCCGGCATTTCGGAGAAGCTAGGAAAGGAGCGGGGCAAAGTGAGGAGGAGGCTGGGAGCATTTCCCAGCGCCTGTGACTCCCTGCGCAGCTTCCCTGGCCGCCCTCTCGCTCGCTGCGTGCCGGTGGGTGGCCGCTTGCGTCAGCCCCGCGGTGGGGGAAGTAAAACCTTTGCCGGAGCGTGACATCTGAGCTGAAGCGAGTTAATAACAAACCCTTCAGGGACCTTCTCCTCTTCCCCAGAGACTCAGTGCTTTTGGCAAAACCTAGGGTTTTTTGGGCAGTCGATGAAAGCAGCTTTCCTCGCCCTGCCTGTGCCGGCTTCCTGCTCTTGGGGTTAGCAATGTCACCAGGGCAAACTGTCCCCTTGCATCAGCACTGCTGTGGGAGGTGGCGGGGAAATGCCCTCCCACCATGACACAGCTTCTGCCGCCACCAGCTTCGTGCTGAGCAGGGACGGAGTCGTCCCCGGTGCTGCAGCACGTGGAGGTGGTCGTGTGCAGGGTCCTGTGTGGCCGCATCCAGGCCTGGAGAGCCGTTTTCTCCCGGGTGCTTCCCCGCTGGGTCTGTGCCTCTTGTCATCGTGTCCTGCTGCCAGAGTGCGTCCTCTCCTCTTCCTCCTTGTTCGCTGACCGAGGTTTGTCCGTGCATTCCATATGCAGGTGGTTTTTCCTAGGGATGCTCATGCCCCGGTGCTCTCCTGTGCGGCTCCAGGGTCTCACGTGGGAAGGACACAAGCAGCCGCTGCGTGTCGGGGCTGCCAGTGTGTAGGCACCCAGGGCCGGGAAGGACCGTGGGGGCAGGAGGGTCAGGGTGCTGTGGGGCAGCCCCGCTCCTCTCCCCACAGCCATGTGCTGCTGGCAGCCTTAGTCACAACTGTGTCGGTTCTCTGCAACCCGTCTGAGCCCTCCGTGGCTGGGGCAGCCTGGGGAGCTGCGGGTAGAGGGCTGAGCGCTGGTCGGATGCTGCCCTCGCCTCCTCTGCCAGCCGGCAGCGCCCTGTGCTGCCTGCCGTACCCACCGGCACAGCCGGGAACAGTGCCCCTGCCCCGGGGAGACGCCGTGCCACCACAACCTGCACAGCCCGAGCGCTTCCACAGCAAGTTTCTCCCGTGCACTTCCACGCCCCGAAAGGTCTCTGCAGGCGTATGAGCGACTCTTTCCTATGGGGGTGTGTACGTGCGTGTGTGTGTGTGCTGATGCAGAGGTGTGGGTTTGTGTCTTGCTTATATTTAGCAAACGTAAAGAAATAGGACTGGGCAGCTCTGGTTCGGACCACAGGTCTGTCTGCCTGGGGCCCTGCCTCTTGGTCATGGCAGCACGTAGCAGAGCTCTTGGCTTTGGCTCCAGCCGGCTCCGAGCTTTCCTTCCGCGTGTGAAGGCAGGGTTGGTTTTGTGACATGTATCGATTTGCATTTATTTACACCGAATTTCATCTGTAGTTTTGCATGTCTAGAGCGTCTTCTAGACAGTTAGCTTAGGTCTGAAAGTCTCTCGCTGCCACCTTGCCATTGCTGATGGCTACAGGCAACTGTTCTGCCTGTTAGAAAGTGGGATATCTGTTTAATTTGGCTGTTCTTGGTCACTTCCTGATCTTGCAAAGATTAATTTTACATTGTTCTTTTTTTTTTTAAGGAAGAAGATAATGTGAATGGGCTGGAAGAACCAGAGGAGATGGATGGAGAGCTGCCCCGCGCTGAGGTGGATGGAGAAGTGTCCTCTGCCACAGAGGACCTGGGAGGAGAGATGCCCTGTGCGGAGAGCGATACTGAAGGGGATGTGTCCTGTGTCGAGAGCGATGCAGAAGGAGAGATGCCCTGTGCTGAGACCAACACAAAAGAAGAGGCACCTTGTGCTGAGAGCAGTGTGGAAGGAGAGATGCCCGGCACTGACAGCGATGGGGAAGGGGAAATGCCCTGTGCCGAGAGTGATGCAAAAGGAGAGGCATCTTGCTATGAGAGTGATGGGGAAGAAGTACCGGATACTGAAATCGCTGATGCTTCAAAGAAAATGTCTTCTATTTCTTCTCCCTTGCGGGCGATCATCCGCCTGCGGCGACGCTACTGGGTGCAAAAGAAAGGCCGCCTGCATTTAGAGCTCCCTCGAGAAAAGTCTTCAGAGCTTGCCCATACGAGGCTGCTGCAAAGGCAGCTTTCCCTGAACCGAACTAGCCTGTATGGCTCTTCCATGTCCTTCTTTAATCAGACCAGCTTCGAAACTTCCCAGTACTTCACCTTTGACACATCTGTGGAGCAGTGCGCTATGAAAAAATGCAGGCGGAAAAAGAATCGAAGGAAATCTAGGATAGTCTTGTATCCAGATAAAACAAAAAGATACCTTCCAGCAGAGGAGAAGAGCAAGGCAAAACGCTGCCTGCTCTTGCTTATTGTCATTATCTTCTTCCAGATTCTCAATGCAATAGAGAACCTGGATGATAACCTCCAAAAATACGACCTAGATGGTTTGGAGAAAACAATGCACCGGGAAGTATTTGGACAGAAGGTTGCTGTGGAAAGTATTATGGAATTACTGAAAGACTATCTGGCTACCCACATACACAACAAGCCTCTAGTAATCTCTTTAAATGGCCCGACAGGAGTTGGGAAGAGTCATGTTGGCTGGCTGCTGGCCAAACATTTTCGTTCCGTCATGGACAAGGACTTTGTGCTTCAGTACTTTGTTATGCATCACTGCCCCAACGGGGTGGCTCCTCTTACTTGCGAAACAGATTTGTCTGAGAAGATTTCTGACATGGTGACAAAAGCCGAAATAGAAGAGAAGATACCATTGTTTATTCTGGATGAGGTTGAACTCATGTCTCCAGTCCTGCTGGATACTCTTGGCCGATTCTTTGAACCCAATCAAACCAACGAGTTCCTCAATGCCATCTACATTTTAATAAGCAACATAGGAGGTGGTGAAATAACAAAGTTTGTTATCCAGAATGCATCTGCTGAGCTTCTGCATCAGCAAAGGGGAGCTGAAGAACTGCTGAATATCATCCAGCCTGTACTGATCGATGCCCACCCTCTCTGGAAATCTGCGGACATCATCCCATTTGTTCTTCTGGAGAAGACTCACGTCATAAACTGCTTCCTAGAGGAGATGAGGAGGGAAGGGCTGTATCCTGACCAGAAGCATGTTGAAAATTTAGCGAGTCAGCTCAGTTACTACACTACAGGAGACAAGCAGTACTCCAGAATGGGCTGCAAGCAGGTTGTGGCCAAAGTCAACCTGCTGTAGTGATGTACTGCAGAGAGCAAGTCCTGCTCTCAGGATTTGCAAAAGTCTGGGCTTATGGAGGAGTACGTTACAGCAGGCTGTGGTCAAGGTGTCCTTCCTCAGGCTTGCACTGACTGTCCTGGTCGATGTAGAGGGATGGCAGCCCGGGATCCTCTGCAACATGGTCTCTGTTCTCCAGATGCTTCACTTGTTCCTAATGTTCTGTGAATAAGGCACAGGCAACGAAGCCCAAGCAACCTCCCATTAATTGTGAGATGCTTTGTTCCTCACGTGCTCAGTTGGGATACTTTGTCATTAAGGAGTTGTGAGATGAGAACAGACGCTGTGGGATATAAACAGGAGGAGAAAAGAGTAACTGGGTTACTGTCTCTGCAGTACACGTAGCTGTGCCTCACTCCTTCTCCAGGCTCACAGGCTTCAGCTCTTTGCTTTTCTTGGACCTGGCTGGTGTTGTGCAGAGCAGAGGCCATGCTGGACGCCTGGGAGAACTGAGAGAATTTGCGGCTCCTCGTTCCCCAAAAGGTGGGGGCAGTCAGAGCTCTGCTTTCTCCAGCTGCTACGTGACCGTGTGCTCCGGAGACTGCTTTTTGGACCCGTTCCTGAGTTCTTGCTCTTCTGAGCTCATACCTGAGCTCACCTTTGGCACTTCCAGCGAGATTTCTGCCCTGCAAGTCTGTTTGGGCTCGCCTGGAAGGCTGCTCGGCTGTGCCAGCCGGAGCAGAAATAACCACTGGATTGTTTCAGGTACGGTGGTGGGAACTCATCCTGAGAGCTCTTCTGCTTTTTGCTTCTGGGTACACTTTACCACACTCCTTATCTCGAAAGCCCAAAATAGCAACTGACGTGTATTAAGCAACACACACTGGAAAAGACAATTTGGGTTGTCTGGGCCAAGTGCAGTGGGAATCCTGAGCTTGTTCCCAGTCCTGCGAGGCCAAGAAGAGGTTCTTCGTCATTGAGACCCAGGGGAGAGCATGCTGCCTGAAAGCACCTCAGGAAAAGCACGTGTCCTTGTTTTGAGCAGGCAAACTGAGAAGATATTTATGACATTGCTTTTTCAGGTTTTGATTTTGTGCCTAAATCCCCTTCTACAACTTGCTGTGGATTATCATATACATAATCCTGTGGATGTTTGCACTGGTTGTTTGATTTGCCTCTTTCTAATAGCTGGTCTCCAAAGACTTCCGTCACAAACTCCTGCTTCCAGAGCTACTGTCAGGAATAAATCCAAACTATCCTGAATAAAATAATTCAAAGTACGTTTCCTTTATTTGACTGAAATGTGTTTTTCTTCCCAAATTTCTCTTCTGGACTGATGTAGCTGCACTGCCATGCCTGTGCTTCCCGGTGGCTCGGATGGGGAGCAAGGGCTACAGCTTTGCTGTGTGTTTTTTGCAGGCCACCTCGATGCAGTGTGTGTGTGCGTGTGTGCAGCTCATCGGGATATGCTCATGGTAAGCCAGATCCAAAAACCACACAGTGCAGCAGTGCCAAAAGCCGTGTGATGCACAGCTCCTCCATCCCCCAGCGCCGCACAGCGGGGACTAGGCTGGAGGCCGGGGAAGTGTGTCCTGGGCTGAGATGATGCTGGGCTGGAAAGCCTGTCCATGCTTTCTCCTCTTGAAATTATCCAGTGGAGAAGCCTTTTTCTCCTGCAGAATAGCCCCTAGAGCGGCTGGGCAGAGAGCAGGAAGGGCTGCTTGCGTGGCTTAGGGGAAGGGCTCTGAATGAAACTAAGCCACCTTCTAGATGCAAGTGTCCACAAAAAATGACGTGTGTGAGCTGGTTTCCATAGCTTAGTGAGACTTTACTACCAGGACAGTAAATATGTTTTTATCCTGGATAAGAAACAGAAACAACTCAAGGATTCCTCTTCCATCTGGGAGAGGGACAGAGGTTATTTCTGGTTTCTTCTACCAAGGCTTCTTGTTTCTGGAGAGGAGCTCAAAGCCCAAGAGTACGACAGGAGAGGTAAGCGTCACCCACACTGCCTGGGTTTGGGAGCTGAAAATGCCGTCGGTGTCTATAGTGCCAGGCTGCAGGGGTGCTGCTGAAGCAGGCACCCACGGGCGCTGGATTGCAGGTGGCTTTTGTCGTGGCATCAGGACAGGCAGCAGCGCTGATGGCAGTGCTGCCTTTGCAAGGGGGGATTTCAGGCTTCCAAGGGCTCTGCAAAGGGCTGTAGGTACTGTGGGGATGCCTGAGTTGTTTTGGAGGGGATTTGGCCTTGGTTTTGGATGTCTGCACTCGCAGTCCACCCACAGGGTGTTCGGTTGTGCCAGAGGTCCCTGGGCGCTTCTGCAGCAACCATCACCCTGTGTGAGAGGGGAGGGTGACTTCAAGTGGAGCTGAGCATCTGCAGAGCTTGTTTTCATCCCTCTAAGATTCACCTGCCCTAAACCAGGGGTCCCAACCCTGCCCCAAGCGAGCTGCCTGAGTTTTGTCGAGGCACCAGCCCACGCCTTTGTATCCCCCATGAGCTGCGTGCTGGGTGGCTCTGGGCTCACCCTGAGCAGCTCAGCACCCTTAGGCTCAGCAGCGTCGGGCCCCTCATGCCTCTGCTCGGGGGAGATCAGGGACATATTGCAGTCTTGCCTCCTCCTCCATCTCACCCCACTTCTGCACATCAGCTCCATCCCAAAGCAAAGCTGTCCCAACCATTTTGCAAAAGGCATGGGGTGCACAGGCGCCCTGTGCACCTTGAAGGCCTGCCAAGGTCTTTGCCTCCCACAAAGCTTCTCTCAGCGCTAAGAAGTGGGGCTCAGCTTTCTGCTGCATGAAGACCACCTCATCCCTTGGCCAGTGCCGGAGAGGACAATCTGGCCAGGGCTGCACATGTGCCCCATGCTCCCAGCCCACATGGCAGCTTGTACCTCTGGAGGCTGTCATCAGAAAGCACAGGAACCTCCAGGCTATGGAGAGGACTTTCCCTGCCAGAAGATAAGGATGTCTGGCCATGTTGTCCCCAGTCCCAACTTGCCCCAGGACTTGGATTCCAGCTCAAACGGCTCTTCAGGTTGTCCCCAATCCCAGTCTCTCCCAGGATCCCAGCTTAGACATCTGTCCGTGTTGTCCCTGGTCCCCAAGCTGCCCTGAGATCCTCTGCAAAGCCACCAGCCCTGCCAGGCACTTTCAACGCTGTGGAGCTGGCACGTGGGCGATCCACAGTGCTGAGCAGCAGGAGCCCGATGGCTCATTTCCTGATGCTGTGGGCCAAGGACGCTGGTCTAAGGGAAAGGAACGGCTAAGGAGACTTGAACCTCATCGTATCCCATAATGGCTGTGCCAGGACCACTGCGGTTCTCCACCTCCGCTCGGCACAGGAGCACTTCTACACTGCCTCAGAGCCAAGAGAACCTCTCCAAGGAGTTGCTCATCACCGTAGCTGCTCCTACGCATACCTGGCCAAGCCCACACCACAGCACACCCGCTGAGCCCGGCTTGAGAATTAAACAGCTCCTCCTGCAGCACATCTGAGGCTGGAATTTGGGGAGCCAAGCACAAAGAGCACAGTGGCTTGTCCTTGGTCCCACTCCGTCTCTTGGAGGCTCAGCCACTCCTGGCACGGGACCCAAGGCTTTCCTGAAGACCTTTTACACGATGGGTATGGCTGAGATGCCAGGCGTGTGGTAACATGCTTTCGCCCTAGACTTTGTCCTCCTTAGCCAGATGTGGATTTCTTTATCCAATTGCCTTTTCCAGGGGAAAATGCTGTTTGAGCTGGAAGGATGGCTTTGAAGCTGAAGGACGGAGAGACCCCCTGGGCTGGGGCTCTTGGACTGCTGGTCCTGCTCTTCCCCTGCACAGCCGAGCTGTGAATCGAAGGGCTGGTAGACAGCCTGGACTCCCTCACTTTGAAAGCATCCCACACGTCTCCCCAGCGCTCTTGGCTCCCTTTGCCTGGTGAAGGGCTCATTTTTTTCCAGTAGTGCTGGTCCATGGGTGTCACAGGATGCCAGGATGGCTGGCCCCATGGGTCCAAGCCACCAGGACGGGTCACCCTCCTGTTGCCAGCTCTTGCTTCCTAATGCACCGTGCACTCAGGAGTGGGTACAACACCTGACGGAGTAGGGGGACTGGAGAGGGTGCTGTGCTGTGTTTTCCATAGCCTCATCCATCTCTAAGGGATCTCTTCAGCCCTTCTTTACTCTTAATAGCTTCTTTGTAATCAAAAGATCTAGAAATATGACTTTTTAGGAGATATTGCTAGAGATAAAGAGAATTGCTGTTGCTGCATGTCTGTCCTGTGCCTTCATCCAGCTCCTCTGGATCCCCTAGGTGAATGGGGGCTGCCTGAAGTGTGGGAGCTGCCACATTATCTGCTATCAAGGTGGCTGCAGGTGCCACTGGGAAGGCTTTTTTGGTCTGCAAGAGCTCTTCATAAGTCAGGCACACCTTCCTGTTGTGCTTGGAGCAGTGATTTATGGAAAGCAGCTCCCGCCCCGCTGCGGGCATGGCACTGCATGTGGCCTTGAACAAAGCACGGCTGGTTCGGTAGTTAAAGCAGCACTGGGATGACTGTTCCCTGTCACGGGATGGTGGGGCTCATGGGGAGACCAGCAGGTATTCTGCACCCCACAACTGCATCCCGAAGCCAGAGCAGTGCTTGGGCCAAATTCTCTTTTTGCATTTACCCTGGGGAAAGTGCAGAGTGATTACACATAGGTGTATGGTGAGGATGTGGGAACAGCTGCTGTTACTGCCCACGAGAGCGTGGCAATGATAAAGGAGGGTAAAGGTAAATATGAAATAGTGCATGTCTTGCACAGGATGGAAATTGGACCACGTAGGCCTGGTCTGTGCCCAGCTTTCCCGGGGGCCAGGCTCAGGTCAGAGGGGCCATGAGCTGCATTCCCAGCACATGTGGTGCTGTCAGGCCTTGACAGAGCAGCTGTGCCACCTCCAGGAGCACCTCCCCATACAGAAGATGCACCAATTAGTGCCAGCTCTGAAGGCATTAATTAGTCTTCCCCATATCAGCCTCACCTGACACCTCCCCA